ACCAGTGTTTAACTGAAATTAAAATGTAACATGGGTTTTCCACTCCTTTATTTATGCAATCAAAAGAGAATTGTTTTCGTCCGGCCGGTGTTGCTCAGTGGTTGAGCATCGACCTATGAACCAGAAGGTCACAGTTTGATTCCCGGTCAGAACACATGCCTAGGTTGTGGGCTGGATCCCCAGTGCGGGGCATGCAGCAGGCAGCTGATCAATGATTCTATCTCATCATTGATGTTTCTATCTCCCTCTCCCTCTAAATCAATAAATACATATATATTTTTAAGAGAATTGTTTTCCAAAATATTTTCAGGAAATATGCTCATTTAAAAATTTACTGACAAATCCAGGGATAGTGGGTGGTATAAACAAAACATTGAATCATTATCAAATACATCTGCTCAGCTAATACGAAGTAACTACAAAGGCACTTCCAATGGTAGATTTTCTGTAATCATTGGTCTGGCCAACAATTTCTTGGACAATTTCATTCCTCAAGCACATTGGATGTTTATATGTACACTCTAGAGTTCATTTTCTGTTTTCTTTCCATTCTTTTAATGGTTAATGTACATCTTTGCCTTGATTGTAGTCTGTTCAACATACAGAATTTACACTGACCCTAATTAGCAGGAATGTCTTATAGATCTATGAACTACTATCCCATTTAACTAACATACACATCATCTTAGAATGCTCTAAGTACCATAAGAAAAACAACAAAGGGAAGGTACAAGAAATCTTATAGGATAGCACTGAGACATCAGCATTACAAGTCCTTCTCCTTAAAATTCTCCAAAGCTTCCTTCCATCATTTCTGGTTACATTTTCAATCCTTAGCAGGTACAAAACCAGCCATCATCTGGCCTCCTGAGGGGAGTGGCCTGCAGGATCAGGCAGAAACCCGCTCTCGGATTGAGGTCTCAGATTGCGAGAGGGTGCAGGCCAGGCCCAGGGACCCCATCAGTACACTATCGGGGCCAGAGAGAGACCGGGGGAGATCTCTAGGCGTGTCCAGCCCATCTTGCTCAGTTCTGATCAGCCAGACCCCAGCAGCAAGCTAACCTACTGGTCAGAGCATCTGCCCCCTGGTGGTCAGTGCACATCATAGCAAGCAGTTGAGCGACCTTAGCATATCATTAGCGTATTACGCTTTGATTGTTTGAATAAACGACTGGACACATAGCATATTAGGCTTTTATTATATAGGATACGTCCTGTACATTATACTTATTGTATATATCACTGAAAAAGCAAATAGCTAGAAGCAGATGACATATCATAACTGTTACAGACTGATGCTATAGGGAGTGGAAGATAAAAACAAACACCAGGTAAGTCAGGATCAGTGATGTAATTGAGCAATGAAGCTAAATGAAAGAGCAAATCAACACATCCCAGATCAACTGAACTCAGGAAAGTACACTTACAAGGAGCATGCTTGCTTTATGCTAGAAATGTTCTCTTAAAAATAATTTTTCAAAACAAAGAAACTTAGGAAGTCAAAAACACTGGGTGTTTACCACAGAGAATTCTAAAGCAGTAAAACAAAAACAGATTATGATGGCTGAGGAAATACTGTAGATCACTCTATAACCACATTAAGGAAAAAAAAATAAATGCACTGAAATTGGCCAAAAAATATTCTGAAGATAGTTAACTGGGCCAAGATGCACAGCTAAGTGAATCAGCCTGCTGAGTTTGCATATTTTTAGTGGCATTAATATGGGCCAAACAAAAATAAGAAAAGACAAACATGGTTTTTATAAAGTACTGTTGGCATTTCGAGGTTTGAGGAAGATAAAGATAAAATCGCATACACTGAACTTCAGTCCCGTTTCAGGTCTTATCAAATTTAACAAAGATTTGTTTGCCAAGAATATATGATCAATAGAAAGACGGAGAGTCAAAGACAGGCGTCCACGTTCCTCCGGAAATGTACTTAAGGAGCGCGTGTTCAAGCACCAGCATGTCCCGCTTCCTTTCAAGTCTGAGATTGCTAACGCTGTGCAGAGGCAGAGGTTCAGACCGGGTTTGTCATGCCCAGTGGAACGGGAACAGTAAACACTCCGTCGTGCCAAGGATCCTCACGCAAATAAATTTCATCATTTTACTGTCAAATCTATTATGGTAAAATTCAGACCATAATACTGAGGTTTATCCAATACAGTTTAATAGGCTTATATCAATTTTCTTTCTCCAAAAACATCTCAATGCTCCCTAAACCAGCAACTGATCCTTAGGGTGAGAAAGTAGTGTCAGCAGCTCCTGCATCCCTTCTTGCTTCTCAAGCGCTGGCCCTTTCCCATCTTCCCTCCCCAGGGGACCCGTGTCACCTCCACTGTGTAGCTTTCCCCAACTTCTCCCCACCCCTCACCCCCCACCCCCCACCAACTTTGTCATCACAAGTGTGCCTCTGTTGCAATTCTCCTCATCACATCAATGGCATTTGAAGTATTGGTTATACTTCAGATTTAAAAAAATAAAAAGAGCCCGTCAGGTGTAGCTCAGTGGTTGAGCATCAACCTATGAACCAGGAGGTCATGGTTAGATTCCAGGTCAGGGCACATACCCAGGTTGCAGGCTTGGTCCCAGTGGGGGGGCATACAGGAGGCAGCCGACCAATGATTCTCTCTCATCATTAATGTTGCTATCTCTTTCCCTCTCCCTTCCTCTCTGAAATCAATAAAAGTATTTTTTTAAAAAAGGGAGGGCGGGTGGATAGCCCTGAAGAATATCAGGCGAGGTGACGGGAGTGTTTAAGAAAAGGAGGAAAAGGTGAAGGAATTAAAGAGTACAAATTGGCAGTTTTAAAGCAGTCGCAGGTTATAAAGTACAGCATAGGGAGTACAGTCAATAATCTATACTAATAAAAGGGTGATATGCTAATTAGACCAGGAGACCTTCCAGACATCCTCCCAGACAAATCCATGGTGGCGGGGCTGAGGCAGAGGCGGTTAGGGGGTGATCAGGCCAGGAGGGGAGGGCAGTTGGGGGTGATCAGGCAGGCAGGAGGGGGCAGTT